TGGCGCGCGTCGGCACCTGCCCGCCTGGGTACCCCGTCGAGCGGTGCATCGGCGCCAAGCACAAGTTTGCCAACGTCTCCTTCTGGGGCTCCGAGCTCACCGCCCAGAACTGGGGCTGGGCAATGATCAACGGCACCTGCGGCGGCCACCCCTTCCGCCTGAGCAAGCACGGCACCAAGAGCTGCGAGGACCTGTCCGTCAGCGTCAAGTCGTCGAGCGCGACGTTCGAGGTGGGCAACTGGACCTTCACGGTGCACGCCAACCACGTCTACGACCGCATCTCCGGCCCGGAGCACCGGCTCGACCTCTCCGTCAAGCCGAACGGCGACGCCCCCGCGCGCTCCTTGCCGCACGGCATCCTCGGCCAGGGGTACTCGTCCACCATAGCGCGCGACGGCAACCGCGACGCCTACCCGCAGCAGGGCCACTTCCGCACGAGCGCGATGGCCGAGGGCGCCATCGAGGGCAGTGCCGCGATGTACGAGGTCGCCCTGCCGTTCGAGACGCGCTTTGCCTTTTCCCGCTTCGACGCGCCCCTCGAGACGTCGGTGAACCCCTTGCTGCTGACGACGAGCGAGGCAACCGCGATCGACGTCGCCGGCGAGGCCGAGGACGACGCGGCGGCGTGAGGTGAGCCCGACTGTCGCACGAGTGAAGCGCCGGGCGACCACGAGTGGCAAGAGGGGCGATCGCCGCAAAAGGGGGAGAATGTGTCGCGAGGGGGCTCCTGCTGCCTGCGGGGCCCCGACGCCACTGCCAGAGGCTCAAAGAAAGGAATGGAGAGTCATGGAGTGCTTGCTGTGTGTCGGGTGTGAGTTCTCTCTGGTCGAGAACGGCCGCGTGGCGCGCCAACCGCGCTGCGGCCGCAGCACGTGCGCGGCGAGCTGGCGACACAACGCTCCGTTCGTGTTTAGGAGTCGCTCTTTCCTCGTTGACGTTGTGATCGTTGTCTCTCTACTAACGTACCTTCTCTCCCAAAAGTTATTTAACCCCACCCCGGTTTCGGATATCGGACGATTGGACGGTGCCACCAACTGAGCCAAATGGAGCCCTGTGTGATGTGGGACCTCACTCCCAGAAGCTTGGAGCTTCAGGCCGCGACCACGTGTGGCTAGGTGGACACTAAAGTGCCATTTTGGCGCCAAATCTTGGCGCGAAATGACACGTGGACATGGCGGGAGTGTTGTGTGGCTGCGCCGCTCACCGCAGCGCTGCTGTTGAGCGCCAGCTGCTGCTCCCTTCAAGCAGTGCGTCTGATCGCGATGCGAGAGTCGACGCTGTGACGCCGCCGCTCGCCGGCTAGAATGACAGTGGCAGCATTCGAGTACGCGTCGACTCTGGGGGGGGTGCGGGGGGCCTAGAGGGTATCCATGCGGGGGGGGGATGGGGTCCAATGGCCCGCCGCAGGCGCCGATTTTTTCGGATTTTTTGCGCGATTTTGCACTTGTTTTCACATGGGAATTCGGCATACTTGCGGGGCCATGCTATCACGCCTTGCGACAGCCTGTCGGCGCTGCTGACCGTGCCATGCTGCACAATTGATCACCTGCATAGCTCGCGGCCTTAGTATCAAGCATTCAGTGACGACCTGATCGTACGCCAGTAGGAAGGTGTCCTTCCAATGTGTGCACACGCTTCTGGCGCGCAATGCGCGTCGCCTCGGATTGGCTGCTGGCACTCTCGAGGCTATGCCTACACAGCCTCGCGCGCATGGGCAGTCAAGAGGGACCACGCACCTTCTCAGGACAGCACCAGTGCCTCTCTCTTGGACCGGCAAACGTGGTGGTCTCGTGTCACCAATGTGGGACCAGTGCGGCATCGCGCCATCGACAGCTCTGAACTGCGCCTCACCACTGACCGGGAAGGCCGCCAAGTGGGCCAACACAGGTCGCACATTGTGGCAGCAGTCAGCAGTGCATGTCTGATAGCTAGAGCAGCAGCGTCAGGGTCGCAGGGTCGGATCGTGTCAAGCCTCTCGCCCGGCCGGCCACGTGCAGACGTCGGCCTGTCTGCTTCCTGGAGTGATCTGTCGGCGGTCAGTACGACCGATCAGGTTGAGGTTACTGATGATTGGAGGGTCTATCTGTGTGTACTTCTCGAGATCTCTCCAAATCTACCCTCTGTTAGACCGGGTTAGATCGGGAAGTCGGTGCTCTGAGCGACTCTGAGCGCCGGGGCCCCGTTTCCGCACTGCGGCGCGGCGCACGGTGCCTCCGGGGGCCCCCGCGCCCCCCCCAGAGCGCGTCGACCAGGAACCAGCACTTGTATGCGAGCTTATTGTGTCCCTGACGCCTGAGCTGCTGTGGGGTGCGTGGGCTCAGCTGCGGAGCACGTACTGGGCGGCGGTAGGGGGGTTGGGGTTGAATAAACTTTTGGGAGAGAAGGTAAAACTTACTGTGTTCAAACGCGCAAGAACCTGCCCACAAATAAATACCACACGCCCGCGCGCCTCACGCACAGGGCGAGAACTAACCGACAGACGCCCGCCCACGGGGCGCCTCACTCACAGGGCGAGAACTAACCGACAGATTTTATAGTCATCCTCGCACACGTGTCTCTCGACTCGACGTCGAGCATCGGCCACACACGAGAGAAGCGAGGTCCGGGGGGCGGACATCCTTCCCGATCCTTCGACTCACTCACGGCTCGTAGCGAGGCTACGCATGCAGTCTTGCACGATCTTCATCTGCGCGTCGCTTGCACCGAACCCAGCCGGCGGCGGCGCGCGTAGCGCTGCGTTCACGAGGACCGGCAGCGGCGCCTGCCACTTCCGGCCTTTGAAGCCTCCGAGGGGCAGCCAGGCTTCGAAGGGGTCGCTCGTGCCGCCTGCAGGCGCCCTCATCAGCAGCACCTGCGGCTCGTCGGGCGGTGGCGCGCCGCTCGCGAGCCTCACCGCCGGCCCTGAGCCGTTGCGCGCGAGCTTCAGGTCGCCCGCCGAGAGCGTTGCACCGGCGGTCGGCGCGACGACGAGCCGCCGCGCGAGGAGGTCGCGGTAGTCGATGTCGTTGAGGTAGTCGATGCCGGCGCACCACGGGTCGATGTGGTGCGGGTAGGGCAGCCAGATGCACTGGCGCT